ATAGGGACAAGCTTGACTTGGGATCAGGATGGACTAAATGACCTAGAGGTGCCCAGCTCTGACCCATGTGATTCTTTGATCCAACCCCCAGAGTTTTTCCTTTCTCTCTGGTTCTCCCGGCTCCTATGTTCTTTATCCCGTTGTCTCTGGGCAAAGGGGACAGAGGACTGTTCCAAAAGGCATCTCCACTGCCTGAGACAGTCAGACACAGACTGTCTCAAGAACCGCTCGCCATGTGTGTGAGCCCCACATCTCCCCAGGCAGCCGTCCCTCCCGAGACCTGCTTTGCTTGTGACCCTCACTGCACCTAGTTTTGGAAGAGGGGACTTACAAGCTAGGATCAGTGCCTCAGGCCAATATCAGAGCAGCTAAGTGGAAGGATGCACTTTTAAGGATTAACGATGCAGCGGGCTACATGAAAGGAATTTATACGCCTGCCCTGGACTCCTCTTGTAAAACAAACCAGGCACGTTGGATACAAAATCTGCTTCGAGGGAACTAACAGTTGCCTGGGCACAGGCCAGTTCTGGGGTAGTGAAAGAATGGCTTCACATAGTCTGATTCACTGCCATGTTCAGCAGGGTCCAGTTAATAGCAGAATCCTCTTCCCACACCCGAGTATCCCTTCGCTAGCAAACTCTTCTTGATTTTGCTTTCAGATGCCATGGTCATTGTCAGCGGATGGGGGAAGGAATTCTTGAAAAAACGCCCTGAAGCCCTGATGGAGGTGAGAATTATTAACCTGAGAATACCAGGATCTAGGGGCCTGAGCACAGGGATGGGGGTCCAGCGTCCTGCCTCTGACACCGGCCTCCTCGGTGACCTCGGGCATGTCACTTCCCCTCTGTGTGCCTCAGCTACCGCCGCTGTAAAACGAGGATGCTGGTGCTGGCCTCCTTCTCAGCAGCCGAGTGAGAATTCGGTTTGTCCAGCGCTGTGAGCTGAGCAGCACCACGGACACGGCCGGAAGCGCCGCCGTCGATGCAGTGCAAGGGCTGCTGGAATCCTGGTAGTGCCCTGCCTGGAAAACTCTGCAGAAAAATGCATCTGTCGAAAGCCAGAGTGGCTCCAAACTCCATGCCTGTTGTGTACACCACTGCAGTCAAACAGCCACCAGGGCCTTGAACGTGAGTAAACCCACCTCTCGGCCTAGCATCATTTCCCCAAAATCACTGCCTGCGGCCGGCGACCTGGGAGAAACCAACAGACACGTGTTGAGCAATGAGCAAATATGAGCGCTTTGCTCAACCGCTTCACTCGGCTATGAGGCGTCGGGGGCTTTGAAAGACATCGATTGCGGACGAGGCTGCCAGCAGCAGAGTCCAAAGGAGAAGCAGGTCAAATCTTCAGCATCAACTGGAGACGTGTAGTATCAGCTGTGCTAATAGAATCCAAATGGCTCGGCTTTCTCTCCCTTTACAACAAGCTGTTCATGAACGCTGCATCAAATGGGAACATGGTATATTCTACTAACTCTAGCCCCACCAGGCCTCACCTGTTGCTTCAGTGTGATCTTAGTTTGCGGGTCAGCCCAGATGGCTCGTCCTAGTCATCCTTTTCCCAGACAAACCCCAACCGGAGGTGCTGGGGGACCTACAGGCAGATCTCATGGTGCCAGTGTAGCCCATGGAGCATAATTATTATTTGTTTGGATGATGGTGGTGCCCACAACGTGGTCAAGGGCTGTCCACATACACAGGAACACGTGGTCCTTGCCTTGAAGAGCTTAAAAATCTAACGGCATGTCTCCACAGCAATCTGAGGTGTGAGTGCACTCACTGATTAGATTTCAAGGCCTGAAGAAACCCCTGTCATCACTTAGTCAAACCTCCTGTATAACACAGGCCCTCGGACGTCCCACCAATAACTCCTGTTTGA